CCCGGCCATACTTACTAGTGTCCAAAAGAGGTAAATGGTGAAGAGTGCGACAGTGAGTGCAATCAGTCCGACGGCTTCGAGCCGACTACTAAAGTGCAGGTGGTCCACGGCGCCGCGCAGGCAGAGCCAGCCCGAGATGGTGGCCAGAGGTGTTATAAACAAGAAGCACACCATGTCTCCAAACAGAGTCCGCTTCTCATGCTGGGGGCCTGGGTTTCTGAGCCACTGCCAGGGAGGGAGAGAGACGGAGGAAAACAAGGGAAAAGGTTAGACGCCAGTGAGGATGGAAACACGGTGCTCTCAAGTTGGCTTTGTCTTCAGCATCTGGGAAAAGGCCCCTCCGAGCTGTTCTTAGCTGGGGGCTCATTCCCACGCCCCAACCTGCTAAGTAACCGTTATTATGACAATAACGACAGCAAGGAGAATTTACAGTGCCCTTGTAGTAGCTCTGTGAATAGTTACTCTGAACCACAAAGAGCCTATGTGCAGAGAGAATTTTTTTCTTGGAAGGTAACAGATGAGGCACAACACATTCTGTCAGGTGCCCCAAGCCGTCCAATGTCTTGACCTGGGAACGCCGCAGGCAGACAGGGTCCCCTAATTCGCCATCCTATGGATGCAGCAGGTCTGGCTGGCTCAAATTCCATCCTTTCCTGAGAAAGGCCTGTCCTCCGGACTGACCCTGGGCCTGCTCTTGGAAGATCAGCTCCGAGTCCTTGGAACATTCTCCCAGAGGATAGTGTTTTGCATGCCTGAGGCATGGGCCAAGTGGTACCAGTTGGATGAGATGTTTTATTGCAACAGTGTGATTTATGGCGAACTCCTGCTGCTTCTGTATGCCTGAAGCCATGGGCCATACAGTACCTGCTTGATTCAATAGTTTATGCTAACCATATGATTTATGGTGAAGGCATAGCTGGAGTCTGAGTAGCTGAGTCAGTTGTACACGTGCTACATGCCTATGTTGACTGACTCACCCAAAATGTTAGCTGAGTCAGTTGTACACGTGCTACATGCCTATGTTGACTGACTCACCCAAAATGTTGGACACCAAGGCTCAGGTAAACTTTCCTGGCTGTTGGCACTTCACACCCTGCTGTTAGGAGAATTACGTAGGT